AAAAGTTATATCGCGATACATATCGTTATCGTTCTATCGCCCAGCTCTAACTCTCAGTGATCCAGGTAAACAAGCAGCGCTATGCCCCGCCCACTCTGTACTATTGGAGGGTCTACCTTACAATATAAAGCAGCTTGAGGTGACTGGTGTTTTGATTTGGCGCTGTGTGAATAAAATAGAGTTGAACTGTTTCTAATTGCACAGAAATAGTCAGTTCACTTTGGACATGCTATTTTCAAACAGGAAGCTCAGAAAAAGCCCAGCAGCTTAACAGGTAGCCCCTTAAAACTGATGGGAGTGCTGGGTTTTAGGTCAAACTACTGGAACTCTTGAACCATTGGTGCAACGAAAAATTCCAATGGTTCCTGAACACATCAACTCTGTACTTTTTCAGTGATATTAGGGTCATTGCAGTGATCCCAGGCAGGGCGCCACATCCAAATCCTGACAATGAACACAGAAAACAACCCAACAATCAAAACCAAGGAAAAAAGAAGCCTCATGCAGGATGAAATGTCTGTAGAGCTGCATCACACTCACGATTTGTTCTCGCAAACAACTGATGACCCTAACATCACTGCAAAGCGCTGCTTTCAGTAACTGTTGGAATTCTGTCAAATGAGCCAACGGTTCAGGAGTTACGGGACTTAAAGATGTTGAAAATAAAAACCTCTGTGAAACACGTGACGCCAGCGACAGGTCAGGTTTCCGAGGGTTAGAGTGGGAGCGTAGGATCCAGCTGCCACTCAGCGGTTCCTTCTTGTTTGGCCAGCTGCACTGAAGCAGGAACATCCAGCTGTTAGCCATTACGTTCAGGTTTGTAATGCACCTTATAACTGAAGACTGTTCCCCGGGTACTTGGTGCACCTGATGAACACACAGCAGTGTTTTTGTGATGATCATTTTATGTCTTTATAATATATTCATATGTAAAGCTGTGTGATTATAATGATCAGGGTTAAGGAGTATCTCACACTGTGATCCACTCTGCTTTTTCCTGTCAGCATGAGTTTGTCCAGTGGCCATTCTCCTCCCCCATCTCCTCTTCCGGTCCCTCTCCCCTTCTCCTCCTCTCCCTCCCTGACGTGTTGTCCTGAACTCAACCTATCGGTCACACTCGGCCTCCCCCCTAAGACCGGCCAATCACTACCCAAGAAACTGAAACAGGGTCAGCAGAGTGAACAAGCACAGCTGAAGCACAACCCTAAAGGACAGACAGACAGGAAGAGGAACAGACAGGTAACGACTGTGTGTGTCTGTGTGTGTGTGTCTGTGTGTGTGTGTGTGTGTGTGTGTGTGTGTGT